GCTTCATTGCTTAGGAGATCAGATAAGAAGATTATATGACTTGGGAGCAGAAGCCTGCTTGTGTCATGCTGTTGATCATAATAGTAGTGGACTCATACAATATTTGTCCTTTTGTGATTGACTAACCTCACTCAACATACTGGTTTCCTGGTCCATCCATACTAGAAGCTGTTTCATGGTTTTATCACAATTTTTTAGGGATGCATAGTATTCCATTGTATGCATGTTCCAGAGTTTAATCTATTCTCTACTGATGAGCCTTTTGGCTGTTTCCAGCTTCTTGCTATTGTAAACAGTGATGCAATGAGCATGGGAAGGCATCCATCTATTTGTGTGCTGGCTCTTATTTCTTTGGATTAGATGCCCAGCAGAAGTATCGCTGGGTTGTATGTTATTTCTATGCTTAGTTGCTTCAGGAAATGCCATATTGCTTTCCATAATGGTTGTACGTATCACAAGTCCAATGGCAGTGTGTAATAATACCAATCTCTCACATCCTCTCCGACATTTGTTGTTCTCTGTTTTTTGTTTTAAATTGGGCGATTGCTGCGGTTTTAAGGTGATATTTCATCAGCTTTGATTTGCATCATGAGCACTTCCTCGTGTTTGTTAGCCATTCGAGTGTCAACCTTTGTGAATTGTCTATTTATGTCCTTTGCCCACCTTTGGATTGGATTATTTGCTTTTCCTTACTGAGGTGTTGCAGAATTCTACAGATTTTAGTAATTAGCGTTTTATTTTTCATAGATCCCAGTCATCAATTTTGTCTTCCGCATCCCTTATTGTATCTGGTAGTTCATACCGTGCAACAGGACCCGTAGGGTTGTCCCAAGCTTCTCCTCGATGAGCCTTATAGGTCTGGGTTTACATTTTGGTCTTGAATTCATCTTAGGTTCAGCTTTGTGCATAGCGAGGGAGGTATGAACTCAGTTTCATTCTTTTGAGGATGAAAATCTAATCTTTTCAGCACCATTAGCTCAAAAAGGTGGCTCTTTTCCATTTAATGTTTTTCAGTCCTTTGATGAATCAGCTTCCTGTAGATTATACTTTTATTTCTAGGGTTTTCATCCTGTTCCATGGGCTTATGCGCCTGGCATTGTGCCAGTACCAGGTTGTTTGGACGACTGTGAGTAGTATGTTTTTAGGTCAGGCAGTGCAAGGCCTCCTCCTTGGTTTTTTTTGAGATGTTCTTTGATTATCTTGGGCCTTTTCCCTGGAGAGCTTTCCTGAAGTGTCTCTCCTATATAGAGGCGATTTCTCTCTCTGCTTCAGATAGGATAAGATAACCCTTGTGATAGTCTATAACTTGTTTTTTTTTTCATCTAATACATTGACATTGCTTATGTATAAAGAACAGATGTATTTATTTCTCATGGTTACACAGAAGCTCAGTCTATAGAGATCGCATACTTATTCACTTTAAAAGACCTCTTTGGGATGTGATTTCAGTGAAGGCTTACAGAGCACGTTGGTTTTTTATGCAGCTGTTCACGCAGATTCTCGTTGGTGGCATCGGGGCCGTGCCCTCAGTCACAGCATGCTTCCCACTTTCCCCCGGTGCCTTCCATTTTCACTCTCCTTCTGCACTGCTCATCGCCGCATTCTGTCATTGCCACTTTTCGATGTTCTTCTTCCTCTCTCTTTCTTTGCTATCACAATAGGATTTCTGATTTTATTTATTGAAGTCATGCTTTTGGAATCTCTATTGGGCAACTATCTGGCACATAAACCACCTTCAGTTTTGAAATAGCTAATAAGTACTTAACGTTCTGTAAAGTATATAGAATTGAAAATAAACTAATACTTTTTTTTTCTCTACTTGGACCTGGCTCCTGAAGCCACGCAACTGGTTCCTGAAGGCAAAGCAGAGAATTCTCTTGATAGAGCCCAAGCTTCCAAGAACAAAGGCAACACATATTTTAACGCAGGAACGTATGAACAAGCTATCCAGTGCTAAATCGAGGCTACAGTTTGTGCCCTACAGAGAACAGCATTGACCTGGCCATGTTTCGTCAGAACAGAGCTGCTGCCTTTGAGCAGCTGCAAAAATGGAAAGAGGTGGCCGAAGATTGCATAAAGCTGTTGGACTTAACCCCAAATATGTGAACGTGCTCTTCAGACGTGCAAAAGCCCCCGAGAAGCTGGGCAATAAGAAGGAATGTTTAGAGGATGTGACTGCTGTTTGTGTATTAGAAGGGTTCCAAAATCAATGACGCATGCTGCTGACTGACAAAGTTCTTAAACCTGTCGACAAGCAATACAAGGATCATGGACCTCTGATGCCAGCTCCAGTTTATCAAATCTTACTTTAGTTCTTTCCCCGCTGAGGTCATTTCTCAGCCGATGCTTAAAGGGGAGAAGTCTGGTGAAGAAAAGACCAAGAAGGGGAGGCTTTCGAAGTGAAAGAGAACTCTGGATACTTAAAGGCCAAACAGTATCTGGAAGAAGAAGATAAAATCATAAGTGAATGCTCAAAAGAAATAGATACTCACGAAAATACATGGCAGAAGCATTGTTACTCCGAGCCACCTTCTACCTGCAGATTGGCAACAGCAGTGCCGCCAAGCCAGATTTATATCAAGCCATCAGTTTGAAGGAAGTGCTTGTAAAGCCACGGGCAAAGCGCTCATCAAGAGAGGCAGCATGTACACCAGCAGCAGGAGCCCTCGCTGTCTGCTTGGGATTTTACCCTGGCTGCGGACATCAATCCGCAGACCGCGGCTGCTGATCACCACTGAGTGCGCCTGAAAACACTGCTTGATCAGGTTGAAGAAGCAGTTGCAGACTTTGATGAATGCATTAGATTCAGGCCTGAGTCTGGGCTGGATTGCCAAGCGTACACAGGAAACAATGCCTCACAAATCCAAGCAGCTATGAAAGGATTTGAAGAAGTCAGAAAGAAATTCCCAAGGTGTGCTGAAGGCTATGCACTATATGCCCAGGCATGAACAGATCAGCAACAGCTTGGTAAAGCTGATGAAATGTATGAGAGGTGTATTGACTTGGAACCGGATAATGCCACAACGTACGTTCATAAAGGTTTACTTCAACTTCAGTGGAAGCAGGATCCGGATAGAGGTTTGGAGCTTATCAGCAAGTCTATTGAAATTGACAACAGATGTGATTTTGCCTATGAAACCATGGGAACTATTGAAGTACAAAGAGGAATCATGGAGAAAGCCATTGACATGTTCAACAAAGCTATCAACCTGGCCAAGTCGGAAATGGAGATGGCTCATCTACATTCACTTTGGGATGCTGCCCATGCCCAGATAGAAGTTGCAAAGAAATACAGATTAAAGCCGCCAACATTATAAAACTGGGGAGGGGGGAAATGGCCCTCTTTTTAGAAGTTTACCCTCCCTCCTCAATTGAGCCCTGCAGACACTGCCATGAACTGTGTTAAATGGTGAACTGTGTTAAATGGTGGAACTTAGTGACTCCGATTGTGCTGTTGTCGTTTGTTATGCCCCTTTCTGTTAGGTGTTGTGGGCGTGGCTGTGATTCCTGGTTCCCCGAAAAACTTAAAGCCCGCCTCAGCGCATTTTGGTCAAGTTGCAAAGAGTAAATGAAAATAGGCCATGCAAACAAAAACTTTGATTTGCTGATTTGGGGGTGGGTTATAATCTGGATAATTTTTTGTCTACTTACACCTGTACGTATGTATGATATGTGACTATTTTGCAGTATGTTGGTTTTTAAATGAACATAAATGCTGTTAAGTAAAAATAAGTAAATAAATAAAATAAACTAATAAGAATACAAAAGTAAAAAGAACAAGGGAAGTAAATCATGAAGGTGGGAGTGGGGGCACTGGAGCTGACCTCCATTGCACGGCTCACTTTGGGGGCGAATCACCCCTGGGGGGAAGGAAGGCCCTAGGATGGATGTGATGGTGATTGTACCATTCCCCCTGATTATGTTTGAACGATGGAACTCTTCAATTCTATGATATGTATCTTATGTGCCAATAAAACTGTTTTTAAAAATTGAAGTCAAATACAATAACAATTTAAAAGTGATAAATTCATTTTTGTTCTCCAAGTATATTGTGGTTCTCCAAAAGCAAATGCCATTAAAAATCTATAGGTCCCCTTGAAATAATTTCTTTTGAGGACTGTTTTGTGATGCATGGTTATCGTGGATTCTATCTAGTCAGATGGTGATCTTTGTCTTCCTATCTGTGATTTTCTTCCCAGGCTCCCAGGAAATGATCCCTCCTGAGACCTTGCACCTAGCCGTGGAAGAGCTGTCTTCTCTTGTAGGCACTATGCAAGTCTGCGAAGTTTCACAGGTAGGGTCCGTGGGATACTAGTAAGTGTTTAATGATGGGCTCCACTCCTGACAACTAGTGGGGGTGGAAAGAGAGAAGGAAGGAAGGAATGAAAGAAAGAAAGAAAGAAAGAAAGAGAAAAACAGAACGGCAGAAAGGAAGAAGTAACAAAGGCTGAATTTGCAGTGTTTACCAATTTCTATGGTGTAAATACTCCCCCCATGACTGATTTAAAACTACCAACACGACGTCAACCAGATTGTAAAATTCCTGAAATGTAACAATTGTCTCTCATTCATCAGTCTGAGATGACTCCAATACACCACTTTGAAATGATTCTTCTGCTCTTATCTGCGGGATACCACGAGGGCCAGGCTCACGGACAACCAACCAGTGTGGTGGCCTAGGGTCCCATGCTTCATTTAAAATTCTTAATGATGTATGGGTAAAAGGTCCCCATTTTTCTTGTACTGAGCCCTACAAAATACGTAGCTGGTTCACTCCAGAGAGCAAGAACTAGGGTCCCTGTGGTGCCCCACGATGGAAGGGTGGGATGAAGGCTAGGTTTAGGGAAGATTTATAGTCTGCTCCGTACAATGTGGTCAGGATCCTTGGGAGACACATGGCAGTCTGCCCTGAAATCTGTACAGAAGACAGAGTGTGACCAGGCGGTGAGTCATTCATTCACGCCTCTCTGACCCAAAGGCTTGGGAGTGTCGACAGAGGATGCAACATCCTCAGGGAAACAGACAGACAGACAGACAGACAGACAGACAGACAGACAGACTCTAAAGTGCATTCCCAGCCTCTGCTTCTACTGATCTCATCAGCCAAGGAAAATCAAGGAACCTTCAGCCTGGAGATGCTGCATCTTTGATTCTCCCAATCCCAGAGCCTTCACACAATTGCTTTTCTAAGCCAGCTGGGCAAAACCAGAGCTGGACTTTAGATTCTGAAGGAAGGGCAGTGTGGCTTGTGAAAATAAAAGCAGCCAGTCTTTTGAAAAGTGAGACTGAACTTCCTTCCCCCGTGTTCCCTCAGAAGTGGAGGCTTCTCGTGTTGTGCAGCCCCGGGAATGAGAGTGCCATTCCGCTGAGCTGTGGTTTTGGTGAATCCCAGGTGGGATCCAGCCTGGATGGCATTCCACATGACTCAGATGATTTGGCATGGTCCGCAGTGCTGCCAATCACACAGCCCCTGATGGGCCACCCCCTCCTCAGACCGTTTTGGCCATGTCCCCTTTGGAATTTTCTGCTGCAAGCTTAAGGGCAGGGACCAGGGTGGGGAGAATGCTAAAGACTTTGTATTAATTTTGTATTGTAATTGTGTAAGACATTTTTGAAACGCCACATTGAAAACTGTCAATACAGATCATTCGGAGAAGTCTGGGCTGCATCTGGCTCCCCGTTCCTCCCTGCTCCCCCAATCCTCCAATTCCCCGCCACCCCCATCGCCCCATGGCCGAGTCTATTAGTGTTCTTTTGGTTAATTCTTCCATTGTTACAGTTGAGAAAATGTATTGCAAATGAGGTAGCAGAGGAACACCCTTCCTCCCTTTGCTGCTTCCAACTGACCCTGTCTCCTGGCGAGCCATCCAAGAGCGTGTAGAGAGTTTGTTCTCGGCCTGCTTCTCCACCTCTGAAGGAACGGAATTTCCAACCACTCCTTATTGGTGGAAATCCGGGTTCACTCTGGTTTCTCTTTGTGCCAGTCCTGCCGCCACGAGTAAATCCCTGCCCTGGGGCCTTCTGCTGTGCTGCCTTTTTGCTAGTGAGTCAGTGCACCCTCCTCTCCCAAAGGAGGGAGCCGAGGCTCTGTCTGTCTCCTGTCAATGGCCTGTCTTGTGGCGGGGAGTGACACACCCACCCTTCTCTGTCAAGTCGAGACTTTCACCTTCATCCTAACCATGTGAAAATTTTGCATCTCCCATTTCTTCAACAGATGGAGCCTGGACAAAATGAGCCCAGAAAGACGAATGGTAGGTATTTCTAGTATATTCTGTATACCTTGGCTCCATCAGTATGCTAGGACTAGGTCATTTGTCATGCACTAGACCATTTGCGGCTCCTTGGGAGAAGACTTCCAGGCTGGCAGACCACTCATTTCTCAGCCCGTTTCAGCGTAAGTCTCTGGAGGCATGGATATGCTTTTCTATGAGGAGATGGAAAGAGAGAGTGGTTTCCGCCAGGCAGGTCGAGAAGAGCAGCATCTAGAAAATGCAGGCAGCTGCTTTCCCTGCCCCCTTCCCGAGTCGGGCAGCATGCCTTCTGTGGGGAGGGAACCCCCCTGCCAGCAGAGAGGGAGAATGAGGGCGCGTCTTCTCTGAAGAGCTGGGCTCCCAATGAAAGAAGCGAGAGAGAGGGATTTGACGGCAGTGTGCTTAGTGGTGGACTCCCTGCCCAGAAACTCTGACCTCAGGAAGACGTTCCCGAATCTGTCTGGACTACACTGTGTGTGAATACCCTGTGGGTGAATACCCTGTGTGAATACCCTGTGTGTGAATACGCTGTGTGAATACCCTGTGTGAATACCCTGTGTGTGAATACACAGGTGTTTGGCGGGGTCTTCCCGTGTGCGGTATCAAGTTGAATTAGAGCCCTTCTTCGCCCCCTTCCCCTCCACACCTTTCTTTGGAAGTTCAGGTTCTGATTCCAAGACTCATCACTTTCCTAGGAAGCTCTGATGTGACATTGGTGAGCGATGACGTTGGCCCATGTTGCACGCTGCTGTGTGCTAGGATTATCTCGTTTGCTTCTCTCCAACATCTGGCGATAGGTACTGCTATCATTCCTATTTAACGATGAGGTACGTTGAGGCCCATAAGGTGTACGACTTTGCTGAAGGTCACACAACTAGGAATGAGTGAAGTTGGGATTTGAACCCAGCAGTTTGACTCCAGAACCCACTCACCCCAAATCAGGTCTACCATTGCATGCGTACCCAGACAATGGCTCCCCCACCCTCACCCCCCAGGCAGTATAGGTGCATCTCCTTCAGCTTTATAATCCTGTGGTCCCAAAGTGTAGACCTGACTTCCTTTGGAAGCGTCTCTTCCTCCCAAGGTGAGGACGAGTTTACAGGTGTTCAGTGCTCCATGCGCACTGGCTTCCTTTCGCTGGGTTCTCGGGTCTGAGGGATCCTGGGCTTGCTCAGCCTGGGTTGGGCACCAGCGACTGACTCACCCTGAGTTTATCATTAACTCAGACCTACCGACAGACAGCAGGGCGCATCAACTTATACTAAACACTTGCTGGGAGTCGGGGAAGCCTGCGGTTTCATTTCACATTTCCCAGAAACTGTCCGGTGACAGCTAACCCAGTTCCAAAGGTCTGACCAAGAAACTCATTTCAGTGCCTTGCTTGGGTTGATTTTTGCCCAAACTAGTGTCTGGACCATTCTTTTTGCCTTTTTCCTTTCCCGCCTCTCGTGTTCTTGGTGTCTGCCCAGTTTCTGACTGTCCACTGACAGATACATTCTGATTCAGCCCAACCGAACTTTCTTTCTGGAGAGCTGGAGCTGACTGACTGGATCCTAATGCCTCAGCCCATCCCCTGCCAGCCAAGCTGTCCCCCACCCTGAAGGGTTAAAAGTGTCGTAAACCATCGGGAAAGGCATGATCGCTGAACTTATGCCTCAGTGCCTTAAAAGAAAAATAATTCTTCCAATTTCCACTCGGTCAGAACATGATTAGTCAGGAAGACTGTGTGTCTGGGAAAAGGTACTTGAGAAATCGGAGTGCCTCTCTTTCTAGGCGACAGGACTATAAATGGTGCCCCGCGGCCTGTGTCCAGGGAGATGCTGGGAGCAGCTGCTGACATCATAAACCCTGAGACCAGAACAAAGGTTTGGATAACCTGCTCATTTCCTGGGGCTGCCGCTGCAGAGACCTTCACTGGGCTATAAGGAGAGCACTGTGTCGCCTACCCTTCTGGAGGCTGGGAGTCTGAAGGCAGGGCCTGCTCTGTCACCAGGGGTCACTTCTTTCCTCTCTCTTCCCCCTTTGGTGGTGCCAGGTGTCCCCTCACGGGTAGATGCATCTTCACATGGCCGTCTTCCCCAGCTGTCTCTCTGTGTCTCTTCTCTTTCATGTGGACACCACTCAGTGGATTAGGACCCACCGACTTCAGTAAAAACCGTATGCTCACCCGTAACATTTTCAAAGACCCTCATTCCAAACAGGGTCACTTTCACACGCACCATTCAGTTCTTAACAGATGCAGCCTTCAAGGACTTGGAGGCTCTGTGATTGTCACTGTCCCACCTGCCCTTTTCCATGACTATCTGTCTATGCAGGGCGTGCTACTGCTCTGTCAGCTGTCTCCAGCAGAGGGAAGCCACTTCATTTTCTGTGTGTTCAGAGCATCATTTTAGTCATAGAGAAGCTTCCCTGAAGTCAACTCAGCTGATTTGTAATCTCAAATTGTTTCTAATAGCCTTTAAAAATAATTTCAAAGCATGTTGTTTTGTTTTCCTTGGTTGTTTTGCTTGGATTAGCCTGGTTTTTGCACTTATTAATGCCTCTGCATGTCTATTTAGATAAGATAGGTGAGATAATTTGGAGTTGAAAACAATGGCACCGATGGTTCCAGGGAGACACAGGAGAAGGGGAGGTGTGAGAAAGGAAGTGGGGGGGGGTCAACCAACCCAGGGGCAAGGGAACAACAAGTGAACTAAAATCAATGGCGAGAAGGGCATAGGATGCCTAGTGAGGCTTAATCAAGG